AAAAAAAAACTTCAACACAAACTCCCAAGATCAAATGGCCACATTTTCTTATAAAATTATTAATTTGCAACTCTTAAGACCTTATAAAAATCATAAAGGATGCTTAGGGTTCTTGGAAGTCTAAGAAAAAATGCAAATGGTCTTTAATTATTAAGGTAGCTAATGGAAACACCAAACTACACACCTTAGGCAAAATATTTAATTAAAAATAGGAAAACAGGGGGGGAAATTATTTAAAATTATTTTTATGATCCAAAGACTCCCAAGAATCTTAAAATGATTTTTCCTTAATTTTACAAGTGAAAGGAATTGAATAATTAAATTTAATTTTAAGCATAAGTAAGAAAACCCTAAAAGATGGAAAATATATTTTCACAATTTTAAAATCAATGCAAGAACAATTAAAAAATTGATTTAAAAAAATCTAAAATTAAATAAGGCAGGGATGAACCCTAATATAATTTTTGTTGATTTTTAGAATTAATGGAAGCATTAAAATAAAATTGTCACATTTTATTAACAAAAATCCTTTAAAGAAATGATACTTTCAATTAATTAATTTAATTAAAAAACCACGAAATTTCTAAAATAAAAAAATAATAATATGGTGATGAAAAAGACTTATTAAACTGTTTTGTGTATTTTTTTTTTTTGATAATTTTTGGGTTGATGAAACTATTTAAAAAAATTGAAGAAAACAATTAAAATAAAACTAAAATTCAAAAATGAATGCAAGTTATTACACCTGTTTTAAACCAAAAGCGCTGTAAAAGTAACTAAGGGCATGCTCAATCAAATTACGACACCTCACCGTCGATGTAAACGGAAACCCTTGTTAACACATTTTTTCAGTTTCAACGAGCGATCTTCAGAGCCTTACATCTTGCTCAAACCTCAATGAAATTTAAAAACATAAACATGAAAAGTGTAGATATCATGGAGATCTACATCATGATATCAAGAAGTTCATCAAATGAATGCTAAATCATGGAGAAAATTGAATGCCAACTCGCGGATTTGTCACTTTATAGAAAAATTACAGAGCACGATTTCAATTCAAATTTACGCAATTTATACTTCAAAAATAATGTTTGGTCATCTAATGCTTTGATGAACACAAATTAAACAATCCATAACCAATAAAAACATGAATGCAAGCATAAGATGAAAGTTGCAGAATCCTTACCTTGTGAAGAAAATATGCAAATTCTTGAGCTCAAATAAAGAGCTAGAAATCCAGAGGTGCGTGGTATTGAAGCTCCAGAAATGTTCTAGTGGAAGAAGAAAATGACTAAAGCTTGAAGAAATGGAAGAACTTTGCTCGAAGAAGGGAAAAAAATTCCAGATCTCCTCTTTCTCTCTTTCAAGAATTGTTATTGTATGCGTGCAGTGGAGTATGCATGTTAACGAAAGAGAAAAAACACCTCTTATATAGAAGTCAAAAGAGTGCATAGGAGTTTTTGTTTTCTAAAATCGCAAGCTGTCAAAATAATCTGAACAAGTATATCATGAGCTGTATTTTATGAACATTTTTATGCAGCCTTGCAGTCGTTTTGGAACAAAGAGAAAGAGGTGAGAAAGCTGGCACGTGATGCAGCCTGTCCCACTCAAGAGATTTCTCAAAATAGTATGAAAGATAGTATGGTATGCATGCATGAAAGTATGCATTTGTTTTGGCTATTTTGGGTAACATAGAAGCAAAGTCATGCGTGTGCCAGGCCTACTGTGCATAATCCCTTCAAAAGTGTGATCAAAACCTTTCAAAGTTGGCCAGTATTCTTGTATGAAATACCAATCTTCTACCACGAATTTAGCTTGAAATATCTCTCTCCTCAGTCCATGAAATGAGACAACCTATGAACCAAAGTTGGAGAGGACATGACAAGCTCCAACTTTGGTGTTTACCATTTTTTAAAATATTGAATAATTCTAGTAGCAAAATAGTGATTAATGTGTGCATATCATATGTTTGACAAAATGATGACTTAGTGCACGCGCGTGACATGGTCTAGTGCTGGGGAAAAACCAAATTCATGTTTCTCACTTCTCAAGGTTATATCCTAAAATATATGGGTTATTTTGAAATGATTCTTGAAGCAAAGTTGCTCACCATACATGGGTCTTGATCTTTGATGTTGAGCATTTTTCAAAATAATGAAAATTTCAAAGCGTAAAATAATGGTGAATGTGTGCCCATAAACTACTTGATGAAATGCCAGGCCTGGAATGCAGACTTTCTAGCCATCTTGCCTTCTCAAGGCCTCGATTCCTAATCCCAATATCTCTCTCAATACTGATCCAAATGGAAACGTTCTTAAACCAAAATTGTATAGAACACTTCAAACTTCAATTTTGATTTTGACAACATTTTGAATTGGATTCATTTGATGCCTCAAAAATGATCATGAAGAAACCATATTTTGTGCCCATTTTTAAGAATTCACTAAGTGTCAAGATTATTCCAAGCTGAATAACTTCTTCTCCTTTCACTTTTTAGACTTGATCCCACAAGGACAAAGTTGAATAACTTTTTCCCCTATTTCCAACCATATAAGGTTTGAATTTTTTTAATAAAAAATGAAGTAGTTATGAATTTTTCAAGATTTAGTACTTATGAACTTCCATACTTAGAAACTTTTCAAATATTCAAATGACTTCTTTGGCAAGTCATCCTCAAATTCAAAAATTCTCCTAAATCAATGATGAAATTGGTTATGAAATATAAAGTGAGGATACTTGAATTGATGGTTGACCAAAAGTCCCCTTGGTCAACTCCTGATATTGTTGACTTTTGGCCCAAAATGACCATTTTGCCCCTTTTGATCAATTGAACTCAATCCCATCCAAATTGATGATCAATCTTTTAATCATAGATGCCCATTAATATTTAGTAAAGCATGGAAACAAGTTTGGGTGAAAAATTCAAAGAAATCTTGATTAAATCCAAAACCCTAGTTTTGCACCTTGTGTTAGAAAATAGTTGATCAAGCTTCAAAACCCTAATTCCATTGGACATCTTGAAAGATCTCTTAAACAAATTTGATTTAAATGATAATTAGAAGATTGTGCTTCAAAAATTTGGATCATATAAGTCTCAATTACTTCAACTGTATAAACCCCTAACTCTGACTGATGATTCACAGAAATGTGATTCACTTTACAATCAACACAATCTTCAATCTTGTGATGGATAAGATGTCTTGAGATATGAGAGGCCCTTGTGACTTGAGAAATCCAAATATTGAGAAAAATGAGACCCTCCTTGCACTTATTATCAATACCATCAACCACCATAGTGTAGCGGTGAAAATTGGAGATCAAGCTATTACTTAACTTGACTCACAAAAGTAAGAGTCGTCACCGCGCTTTATTATTTCCAAGGGAAAAGGGAAAAGAGCGAAATAAAACCCTAAAATATGCAATGTAAAGTAATATTTAAAAGTAATGAAAATACAATGCATTTTTAAAAGAGATCGAGAGTTCGGGGGTTGGTTATACAATGGGAAGGTATTAGCACCCAATGCATTTGCGGTACTCCGCGGGAACCTTTTGAAATATCTATTTTTGGTTAAAATTGTTTGTTTGATTAAAATGGTTCGTTTGGCTAAAAATTGGTGTTGGAGAGATTTTGAAGATGTGATAACCTAATGTCAATGTTTTGACTTAAAAAGGGGTGTGAGTTTAAAAATTGATTTGTAGGAGATTCGTCTTAAGATTAATAAAACTAAAAAAAGTATGAAGGGACTTCACATAATCGTATTAGATACTCGATGACATGAAGTCAACAAATTAATTCTTTCCTTTGGATTTAAAACCACGGACAGATAAATAAGCTAAGAGTGTATCAAACCTCAGGTGAAAATAAATCACGAGCCGACAGCATCAAAAAAACCTGATGTAAGATAATACTCCAAGGATCAGATAAAGCGCAAAGGGCGATGGATAAAGCTCACGGTATCAGATAAGGCTCAAGATATTGAATAAAGCTCGCGGTATAAGATTCCCTGCATCACATGAAATATACAGACAAAACTAACAGCACGGGAAAACTTATGTGCGTCTGTACAATTTTCAGAAGTTAGTTGGAATTAAAATTAAAATAGCAACACAATGAAAATAATATTTACATATCCTGAATTTATTTACAAATGAGGTGAATAAAATATACAGTCAAAATATTATGTACAAGTATATATTTACAGTACCAAATATTAAATAAGAATAGTAATATACAATAAAAAGGTAAAGGGAGAAGTGTAGGAATTATGGACGTGCTATGCGGGAAAGAATACTTGAAACGATTTTCGAAAACCTTCACAGTAAACAAACCCGTTAGTAGCATAAGTGGTATAAAAAATTAAAATGAAAGAAATTACAACTATTAAAGTCTATGTTAGTAATCACAAAGTATGAAATTGAAATGCAATTGCATGAATGCACATGAATAAACGAATATTTACACAGATAAGAACCAAGATGAATTGAATCAAAAATCACAAATTTAACACTAAACAACACACATTTAAACAACTATCAAGAAGAGAAATTTTACAAAGAATAAATCTAAACAAAAATTATTAAAGGATAAACATTATCAAAATTAAAACAAACAAAGATTAACTATTAATTAAATATAATTATAAAGCAAGTATGAATTAAACACATTACATTTTTAGAAGAAAAAGGAAAAAAAATAAACCAAAGAGTTATTGGTATGAACAAACTATTAGTAAAATCATATATAGAGAAACAAAACAAAAAAACGAAAAAATATGGAGAAAAAGCTACTGGATATAAAAACAAATTTCTTAAGTATTATCCTTCAATTAATTAGAACTTAATTCAATCTTAATATCAAAGAAAGTTAGTTAGAGAAAAAACTAAGATAAAAAAAATAGAGGATCAAGTAATTTGATTACTCAATATACCCCACAAAAATCAGCATGGCATTGATTAGGTGAGCTTAACAAACAAAACAAGATTAAAGCAATTGAAAATAAATGAAACACAAGATGACCAAGATATATATACATCTCTATTCATGTCCACTATTTCCTTTTGAGTACAAAAAAATGCAGCATTATAATCTCATAACAAACTCAGCACTCTATCTTTTCAGCTCAATTGAGTTTATAAATCATAAACAAGCTAATGGCCATAATTCCCATATTTCAACAACAAACTGAAAACTTATCTATAAAATGCATATCAAAGCATATTATTCATTAATTAAGTTATTAATAATAAAATAAAAATCAATAAGCACAATAGAAATTACAGTGAGAAATCTTTTCACGAATTGTTATGTACCAACGGTTCTAAAAACCAAAACCAAGAGACTAGCAGAACTATGAAATCATTTGGAAATTAGCATACAATTTTAACACCAACACAGTCTAACATACTCATCTCCGCAGACAAAGATAAAATCAAAAGCATTTAACTTGAACAAACACAATTAGGAAAGAGATCGAAACATATCGAAAAGCCGAAACTGAAAATTGATGGTGCTGGAAATCGCGGAATAGATCTTGGCAGAAGGATTACGAACTACTTGCGAAATTGATGGAGGAAGGAAGATGAACAGGGGCAGTGCTGTACTGTTGCCGTGATGGTTCGGATGAGGTTGGCAGGCGGAAGGGAGTATGTGGATTGAGGAGGTTGTCGGTGAGTTGCAGTTTGACAGTCATGGATGAATAGAAGGTTGAGGGAGAGGTGGAAACATATGGAGATGGGTCATTGAACGGTTATTGGTGAGTGAATTGACGGAGGAAATTGGAAGGGGGTTAATTGTTGCGCAAGATAAAGGTTGGGTTTGGTTGCTGTAAGTAGAAAAATAGTATGCTGGCAATTGGGAGAAAGGGGTATGTGGTTAGCTTGGGCGGTGGGAGTTGCTGTGGGTTAGAAAGAGAGAAGAGGTTACTGGATGTGGCTAGAAGAGGAAGTAGTGTGATGGAGAGAGGAAGTAATATTGTGTTGTTATTTGGTTAAGAAGAGAGGATAGAAATATGTTACTGCATTGTTTTTAGTTTTTGTTATTTTGTGGTGTGCCCTTTTACAAAGAATAAAAGCCAGTTTAAATAGGAAATGAAAAGGAAAATTGTGATTTTCAATTCAATCATGATCGTTCATTATTTCTTCAATATGTATTAATCCGTAAATTTTGTCAACAACCAATGGAAATCAAGCATAGTGTAATAAACATTATTTTGTGACTAAAAAACCCTTTTAATAATAAAAATAAAATAAAAACCTGAAAGTATTAAAATTAACTCAATTTAAAATAATTTTTTATTTTATTTTTCTAAATAAAAAATAAAGACCTAAAATGACTGAAAATGATAAAAAAACGAACGAAAATTTATCCGAAAAAATAAAATGAACACATTAAAATAAACTACTTGTCACAAAGATTAAATAAAAAATATTCAAAAAGTCAAAATCAAAATAAAATGATAATAAAAATATCAGGCTAAACAGACGTTTACGATTAAAAACGAGACTTCAAACTATACCGAAAAAATAAAGCGAGCATACCGTCATAATCTATGCGAAACGCAGATTCATAAAATGATCGGTAAAAGGTGAAAACTTGTTTTTCCCAACAATATTACTGATGTCCATATCGGCTTCTTCATCCCTCAAATCTTGTTTAACACCATGGTAATATACATCAGCACCGTAATGCCATGGGATAGCCTTATTTGAGGTATATGGGATGGGACTCGGAGCGGTGATTATTAACAGAGCAATTCTTGGAATGGGTGTAACCCTAACAAGTTTTCTCGAGGAAACCTTGGAAGGGTTGGCGGAAATGGTGATAATGGCAACATCTTCAAACGGAATCATAGTCTTCTCAAACAAAATTTCTTTATTATCCATCAGGCGCTGAACACCTGACTTCAATAAACAGCAACCGGAAGGCAGAATTGAACACATGTGGCAACCTTCACTACAACCCGGAAATAAACCGGCTAACAAAAAATTCTTCTTAACCGTCATCAAAGGAGTAGAAATTTCTTCCACAGAGGTTACAAACAAATCGGTGTTCACAGCATTGACTCCGCGACCATGTTTGGGCATAGGAGCAGTTATAACGTTTGGCTTTTCCGAAGCATCAAACTCAATCTCTTTAGCTTCCAACAAATCTTGCACTTTATTCCTCAGAGCCCAGCAATCATTTGTATCATGGCCTGGGCTCTCCGAATGGTAGGCGCACCGCGCGTTGGGATTATATCTGGGAGAAGCAGTGTTTGGATTCTTGGGAGCCTCTTTCAAGGTTGCCATGTTGGATTTTAACAGATGAGGCAGGACTTCAGCCAAAGTCATGTTGATGCGGGTAAATTTTTTCGTTGTGGTCTTTCTATCCTTTGCGGATTGTTGCATTGTGGAGCAATTATTGGTCTTGATATCACTACGGCATTTACCGTTTGACGGTGTTCAGGTCTGCTTTGGCCCCTCGGGCCATAGACTGCACTAGCTTCCTTCTTACCGGTGAAAGGCTTCTTTGCTGCACTTGATGAAGCATCCTTCTGTATTTTACCACTTCGGATACCAACTTCTACTCTCTCTCTAGTCAAAATCAACTCAGTAAACCCAGATGATGAACTTCCAATCAAATGATTGAAAAATGGACCAGATAACATCCCTAGAAACATGTCAACCAACTCCCTATCAAACAAAAGGGGTTGGACTCTTCCATCCAGGTCTCTCCACTTTTGAGCATAGTCCTTAAAACCTTCACCTGCACCCATGGACATAACCTGGAGCTGAGTACGAGTGGGAGCAAGGTCGGTGTTGTACTGATACTGCCTGTAAAAAGTAGCAACAAGGTCTTCCCAGTTTCGGACACTGGCTCCTTCCAACTGATAAAACCATTCAAGCTGAGTCCCTGACAGACTATCTTGAAAGAAGTGTACCCACAAATTTCTATCAGCAGTGTGGGGTTGGATTTTTCTTACGTAAGAGCGGAGGTGGAGTTTTGGACAGGATACTCCATCGTACTTGGCAAAAACCGAAGCTTTGAACTTATGAGGGATCACCACTCCCGACACCAGTCCTAGTTCTCCGAAATCCAAACCAGGGATCTTCTGAATCTCCATAGCACTCAGACGGTCTTCTAGCTGCTTGTACCTATCCTTAGCGGGAGGATATTGCTCATCATCGTAATCCATATCGTTATCAGAAACTGCTGGACTATGGTCTTTTACCCTTTCTTGGTTCTCCCCGTCCTTGGATGAGGAGGTCAGATCAGCTCATTGTCTTATCCTTTCTCCGAATCTTCTACCCATGTTCAGAATACCAACCTTCTTCTTCTTCTTCATCTCTTTCAGAATCAGGGTCTTCAAATCCTCTTGCCCTTTAGCCAAACTTAAGAACATCTGTTGGAATTTGGCGTTCTGTGCCTGAAGATCTTTGATGGCTTGATCAGAAGACATTTCTGCTGAAATAAACAGCGAAGAAGATGAGAAACCTGTAATGGTGTGCATGATAATGGGATGTATGTAATGATTTCAAAGACTTTAGGAAATTTAAATTTGCAAACCAAAAATAGACAAACTTTATTAGATTAACTTGTAAAAGGTTCAACAATGCCTTTAAGGCGTTACAAAGAAGTAAATGGAAAATAAATCTAAAACTAGAAAAGAAAAATCAAAAGTCCCATGGATGCTTCCTCTTTGTGCCGATGTAGTCATTGATCACTCTTTCTTCCTCGAGCTTCCTGGTGAGCTTCAAAATCTTCCTTTCTTGCTCATGGTACTTTTCTCGGTAAGTATCCCGCTCATCCTTCAGCTGAATCCAAGACCTCTGCAACTCCCCAGGATCAGTGGGCATGTAAGGATAGAGAACCGTGTAAGGAACGCCTTCTTCATTAGTGGGCTCCACAATCACTGGAAATACGACTTCATAGGGCATCCCAAGCTTCTGGGCACGAGCTCGGACCCATTGGAGGTAAGGCTGCATAGGAAGGGAAGTCCTTCGTCCCAGCTCTTGGGGGTCATATATGTTCACCATGCCCCAAGCTCGTATAAACCTCCGGCGATGCTCCTCAACGTCTTCCTTGTAGTCAAATGCAATATCTTCAAGAAGTATCTCATGGGGGGCGTCTCTCCGAGCACGACCAAATTATCGCAAAGCTAGACAAGGATTGTAGGTTATACCCCCTCTGATTCCAAGCAATGGGACATTAGGGTATCCCGCACAACGGTCAATAACAGCAGTGCCTTCCATATCCCGAGAACTCCAAAGAATATTTGTATGGGCAAGTGACATTATCCTGTAGGACCAACCCAAACCTTCTTCGTTCTTCAGCACAGACTTAGGTAGGTGCGAAATAAACCACCTCGACAGCAACGACATGCAACACATAAGAGTCCCTCTTCTTCGCACGGTACGGGTATAGAGGGCATGCAAGATATCACCCAGCAGGGTAGGCACAGGATTGTGAGAAAGGAATCTTGACAACATTCACATCTACAAAGGAATCCGGATTCGGGAAGAGAACCAAACCATAGATAAAGAGAGCCAAGATATCTTCGAAAGCCTGAAAATCCAAACTATCCCAGAATAGTTGAGCCTGGTCTATCAGAAATTTGGCTAAGAAACCTTAGACCCCGCTTCGTGTTTCCCAATTGGATACTACATCAGCCAGTTTCAGATGCAGAGCTGAGGCAATGTCTTTTGGTCTATGAACCTCTTCCATACCTGTGAAGGGTACCTGTTCAAGGATGGATATGTCCAATAAGTGAGAGAACTCTTCCAAGGTGGGAACCAGCTGGTAATCTGGAAAGGTGAAGCAATGATGCACAGGATCGAAGAACTGGAAAAGTACACTCATCATCTGCTCATCAAGATTTGAGGTGACCAGGCTAAGAAGCTGACCATGTCTCTTAATGAATATAGAAGTCTCGGAAACTCTTGAGGCTAACTCCTTAAGTTGAGCAGGTATTTGCACAAAGTTAACTCGGATGGTATTTCTGCGCACGAAAGCCATAATCTGCAAAACAGAACAAAGATAAATTCCTTTGGTCTTTGAAACGGTTAGTATATGAATTCCATGTTATGATGCATGATGTCATGATACAAAAAAACAGGCATAGTAGATAACAGGCATGGCAAAGATAAACAAGTCACACAAAGCCCTTAAGTTTAAGGCTTGCATGAGATCAAAGGTATTACCCTCTTG